AGAACTGGCGGTCAGTTTCAGCAGCGGCTGAATCTGGACGCCAGTTCCGACTTATATACAGATTCAACTTAAGAAAAAACCTACAGTCCCTATCTTGTACGTAACCCGGGGACTGCCTGTAGTCAATCCTAGAGGATTTAGCTATCCCCGGGCCACCTCCTTAAGAAAATTATGGTTGAGCCTCTGCAAGAGGGGCATGGGAAAAAGGGGTAGGGCAGAGGAGACAAGGTTAGGGGCACAGGTAGAAGGTTTTAGAGTGCACTTTCTTCTCCAGTCGTGAATCTCTGTCTTCAGAAGGGTAGCCAAGTTAGTCAGTAAGTGGAAAAACTTAAACAATCAATAGTCTAGTAGCACCTTAAAGACTAACAAAACATTCAGATGGTATCATGAGCTTTCATGGGCGAAACACACTTCAGATAACATCTGAAGAAGTGGTTTTTGCCCACAAAAGCTCATACCACCAGCTACATGTTTTGTTAGTCTAGTAGCACCTTAAAGACTATTTGTTGTTTTTAAAGTTTTCCCTGAATCTCCGTGTTCTTTGACTGTCAGCAAATAGCTGTGAAATAAGTCTGTGTGTCTTATTCCTCATCTAGTGATTGACACATGAAGAGGATAATAGCCTTTTATGACTGTCAATTACTCTATTAGCTCCAGAGGTAGAAGTTTGCATTGAAGAGCTAAAGGATCAAATCCTGTTGATTACTAAATGGACATCAACATGTATCCAAATGATAAAACTTCACATCAATGATGTTTTTAAAAAGGAAATTACATTTAAGAAACTGTTAAAAGAATGTTAAGATGCCAAAATCAAGTGCGCTAAAGCGAATAAAGCCAAAATTAAGGTTTCATGGGCAATTCAGCCTTCTTGTGTATGCATTATGGTAGTCTTTACATGCTTACACATTCTTTTTTCCCTGTCACATGCTATGAATTGGTAGTTACTCAATATTTTTTTCCATTCATTGTGTAGCTCCAGACTTTATTTACTGTTCACTTCCTGCTATCACTTCGGAATTATTAATTTTCTTTTGGGCTTTCCCGAAGTGGTCATTGCTATACCAAGTAAATGCATTCCTACAGTTTGCATTGCAAATGTAAATGAATTGATCTTCACAAAATGCCTATGCAGTAAAATGGTAGTATTATAATCCCCATTTTACAGGTGGAGAATCAAAGTCACAGAGGCCACGTCTCCACTTACTGGAGGGTCGACACTTTAGCGACCTACTAAAGTAAAGACCCGCTAAATTGAATGCTGAAGGTGCCACCATCAGGTGCTGGTACTGCTCACTGTGGTGAGGAGTAAGAGAAGTCAACAGGAGCATTTCTCCCATTTGTCTCCCGCGGTGAATATGACACTAAGCTCAACTTAAGGTACGTTGACTCTAGCTACATTATTTACATAGCTGGAGTTGCATACCGTAAGCTGACCTTGCCCTTGCAGTGTAGACATGACCAATGACATTAAGGTTAAAATTGTCAAATGTGTCAGTTTTAGGTGCCAACTTGAGATATCTATGCCCCTTTTTTCCCAAGAATATTTTGAGTTTTATAGCATGTATATTTAGATCACAGCTCCAATTGATATAATGTGCAGCTGTGAGGATTCAGCATGTCCGCTGATGTGGCCTCAGGTATTTCGCATTGGGATCCAGAATATAAGGAATATACAGGTGACCGCTGTCTCTGAAAAGTATGGTTTAAGTGACTTGTCTAGTATCACAAAGGATCTTTGTGGCAAAGGTGGGGATAGAATCCACTTCTCCAGTGCACCATTCAACTTCCTTAAACATGAAACTGTCCTTTCTCTTTGTGCAGTTCGCTTTCATTAGCTACTCGTCTCCCAACTAAAAATAATCAGGGATCAACTGCTTCAGTCACTACGCAACCATGATTTGTTTCCTGTGCAGTTCCCATTCCTGTTCATTGAATGAAGCAGGGAAAAAGGAGTGTATGATCTCCTAATTAGATTTAATCAAATGCAACTGCACAAGGTAGACAAGATTTTGGGGCTAGTTAAAATATTTTGTTGCACTAACATGTTTCTCTCATCAACAGAAGCTGGTCCAATAAAAGTTACTACCTCACTCATCTAGTCTAATATCCTGAGACTGAAATAGCTACAACTACACTGCAGTGCACAAAGGGATTAAACTAAGGTTGCATACTCAACCTTAGTACTTTCATTTCCTAATTTTTGAGTGTTTGATTTTTCAACCTTAACATACTTTGGGGGTGGGGTATAATTTACATATAGGGCACTTCTGAGATAACTACTTAGCATAATTTACAGTAGGCAGCAGACACACATTTTAGACCTTACATTACATCTTTCCAAATTAGGAAGATGCCAGAAAAGCCAGTGGGTCTATTCTCTCTAATGCGACAAGCAGGGAGTAGTGGAATTGGAACTTTGTTCATACCAGTAGAAAAGTTCTTCAACTCAAAGTTCTAGGCATACATTCTGATGAGGTCTGTATAATTTTTTGTAATGAAATATTTTTTTATTAATAAGGGCTTGTGAAGACAGTCTATAATTGCTAAAGTAGAATCTACCACTGATCAGTGCTTTTTTGATCATTCCTGAGATCTTGAAAGCCTAATAGCACCTTCAGCGTTGAGCTGTTGGTCCTTTTAAATGGGTGAAAAGTAATAGCTCTTCACAAATGGAATATCTTATTTCTTTTCTCCTT